AGTGGTAGAGTGCTAGCCTTGAGTTGAAGAGCTGAGGGACAGCGCCCAGGCCCAGAGTTCAAGCCCCACGACTGGACCTCCCCCACCAAAAAAAAAAAAAGAGTCTCATGGACTTTCCTGATCAGGCTGGCTTTGAACCATAATCCTCAGATCTCAACCTCCTAAGTAGCTAGGATTACAGTCATGAGCCTGGCGGTTTAGTTTTGGTTGTTTGTTTTTTAATAGAGTCTTACGTTTATGCCCTAGCCAGCCTGGACTTCTGTTTATGCTTCTTCATACTCAAGGGTCTCACAGCCCAGACTGGCCTCATCTTTGCCATCTTCCTGATTTCCACCTCCCAAATAGGATTACAAGTGTGAGCCACCACACCCACCTGGTGCCTGGCAGCTTTTAATCCTGGTTCTGCCACTTTCCAGCTGCAAGACTGAGCAGGTGCCCTTCCTGCTGGGAGCCTCCACTAGACCTTGGCCCAGGGCAAAGGAATAAGGCCAGACTCTGCTGTTTTCCCTGCAGGGTCTCTCATTCATCACCTTCATCTGCTATGTGGTGTCCTCAGCATCGGCCTTCCTCACAGTGCCTCTGCTGGAGTTCCTCCTGGCCCTCTACTTCCTCTTTGCTGATGCCATGCAGCTGAATGACAAGTGGCAGGGCTTGTGTTGGCCCATGATGGTGAGTCCCAGGGGATCAAGAGCACGGGGCTGACTATAAGATATTCACACAGAGACTGGATGAGGAATCTGAAGTCCTACCCTGCCTTCAAAGCTACAAAGAGCAAATAGCACCTGGCAGATGTCAGATTATTCTATCTAGCCAGGAGTGGGACCTGGAGCAGGTTAGAGGGACTTGAGATGAAGACTATGAAACAGGGAGCCCAAAACACCTCTGACCACCAGGTGGCGCTGTCGCTCTCAAGGGGCATTGAAGAAACACTGGTCAGCCACAGGAATTCAAACCATTTCCAGGATCAGGGCAACTTAACTCAGGACCCGCAAGCTTACTCAGACCACAGACACCTGGCAACCCTGGTCCTCTTGGATCACATGGGGGCCCCAGACCCAGCCAATGGCCTTTACTGACCTAAATACACCACAGAGAAGAGGCAGTAAGGGATGGGCTCTGAACCCCATGGCCTGGCTTTTATCTCTAACATCCTTGCATCTGCCCATTTTGGGGATGAGTAAGCAGAGACTATGATCCATAAATGGACTAGCCACAAGTGTGTGGCAAAGCAAGGCCCAGGGCCAGGTCTGTCTGTTGGGTAGCCAGGAGACAAGTTTCCAAAACTCCCACTGCTCCCAAATGGGCTAAGCCACTGAGTGAGCTGCAGGCCTATCCACACCCTGTTTGTTGCTCTTAAGGCTGAGGATAGTTGGAGCAGGGACAGGCCAGTGTTAGCCAGTGGCAGCTTGCAGGACAAAAGGAGGAACATGGGGACTGGAGCCAGGGCCAAGGTGGGGCAGGGAGATGGGCAGGTCTCCCAGGAGCTGGGGCTCGGGCAAGTGTGTGACCAGGCTGCTGTCTCCAGGAGCTCAGGCAATGTTGGCCATGTCCCTCTCTCCCCAGGACTTTCTGCGTTGCGTCACTGCTGCCCTCATCTACTTCGTCATCTCCATCACAGCTGTTGCGAAATACTCAGATGGGGCTTACAAAGCTGCCGGGGTGAGCAGCTCTTACCCTAGGAGAAGGTGATGGGCAATGTCCTTTCCTGAAGCCTGAGACACTTGTCTGGGCACCCATTTAGGCTTGGACCTGGGGACCTCCTCTCCCAGATTGGATCCCTTGGGTTCCCATGCAGATCTCAACTCTTCCAGAGTCTCTTTCCAGAAATTCACTCTGCTCTGAGTGTTAAAAAGCTAGTTGTCTAGCTGGGTTCACAGTTCATCTCCCTAGTTTCCATCATTCTGCCAGTTGGTCCTGAGAGGGGTGGATCTTCTGGCTGCCTCCCCATATCCCTGTCCTCCTCCCTCCTAGGGACCCCAGGCTTCCTATGACCCTGCCACATGTTCATGACCCATAGGTTTTTGGCTTCCTTGCCACCATCGTGTTTGCCATTGACTTCTACTTGATCTTTAATGATGTGGCCAAATTCCTGAAGCAAGGAGACTCTACAGATGATACCACAGCCCACAGGACAGAAGGTGAGTGGCTATTCTGGAGGATTCCACTGAGGAACCTAGCTGGTCAGCCCTAGCTTAGCTGCAGGGTCCCTGAGCTATCCTGTCCCCTTCGGGGGATACCTGACTGGTTTAAGGCTGTGGTGAGGAAACAGGAAGTATGTTTATAACCTGGTGTCAAAGCCAGCCCTCCCTAGGCCTCAGGCTATCCGGAAGGGACAGGCTTTCCCGTACCTCTGTCCTTCCACAAGGACCCTTCCTTGTGCCAGGCTCTAGGGTAGATGGTGTCTAGACACCTGTTTACCTGCGATCCAGAGTGGCTGCCAATCTGGATCGGTTTCCTCTCCTCTCTTGCCTGCCAGGGCAGTAAGTCAGTACCCAGAGCGCTTATCCTCATCCACAGCCCCCAGGCACACCCAGGCAAGCTCAGGCTTGGCTTGGTGTCATTTACAAGGAAATACAACAGGCATTATAACCCCTGAAGCCTTCATGCCAGCCCAGACAGGCTGGCTCCCATGTTAACTGATTTAAAAAAAAAAAAAAAGACTGAAAGGTAGAAGGAAGCTGGTTTTCCTGTCTGTGACAACACAGCCGTATCAGATATCTCATCTTTGGGGCTGTGTTGCCTGTGCAGGGCAGGGCCTGTGGCAGAGGTTTGTCAGACACTATAGCTGGTCTGGAGGTGTAGTCTGCCCTCCAGACTATTCTCAGGCCTTTGTGTCACCCGACTGTCATGCCGGGCCCTGGAAAGTGCAGGAGACCCAGACCTGCCCCAGGGGAGCTTAAAGTTCCCAAAGTAGACTGGCACCAGACGCAATAGGATGGGTACTGTACCAGGGGACAGGAACAGTAGATATCAGGGAAGGCTCTGGATGGGACAACCTTAAAACAAAATAAGGACTTAGCATGTATGAATATAAAGCAGCTTGAGGGTGGCCCCTGTGTGCTAGCGAGGCTGAAGAATCCTAGAGGTGACCCTAGCTGTGTGGATAGGCATGTGCAGACACGAAGAAAGGGAGCAGGTGGAGGAAGAAGGTAAGAGTCTATGAGCAGGGGCTTCCATCCATGCCAGACATGTCTCTGAAGTCAGCCACCTGAACTGTGGCTGGGCAGGTGGACCATGGAGCTGTGGGGCCCTCAGGCATGGCCTCAGTCCTTCCCACCAAGCACCTAGAATCTGAGGTGGGACTCAGTTGGTTCGGTTTAGGTAGGTGCAACAGTTCTGCTTCTAGGGCCCAAGGAAGGAGTGAACCCCAGACATTGCCACTGTGCTAAAGTGACTCATGCCCAGGCCCTTCCCCCATACTGCAGCAAGCAAAACCCAGACCATGTCCCCTGACAACTGCCAGCTGCAGCATCTGTCATCCAGAGAACACTCCTATTTGGAGAACTTTGCAGGGGACAGAGCCCCAAGTTACACATACGTTTTTACAGTAAAGTACATGTTAGATGCTTATATGTTAGACATGAACATAACAAAATCCACCAGATCTTACTGAGATCTTGAGCATGGGAGTTGGGGGAAGAGTTGGGGATTAAGGAGGTTCTCACACAGCCTCAGCTGCCCCACTGGCCCTGTCCCTAGCCCGTCTATGAGCAGGTAGCCTAAAGACACCTAGGGCTCTAAGAGTCAGGCTGGCCAGAAGGGGGTTATTGATACATAGCAACCAGCTGAGCACAGGTGGCTCACATATATAATCCTAGTTACTCACGAGGCTGAGATTGGGAGGATCCTATTTCAAAGTAGAAAAATCCACCAGTCTTCATCATCAAAAGCAGCAGCAAAAGATAAGGATGGGAAGTTCTAGAGATGAGCAAGCAAGCCAAGCAAGCTTGAGGTCCAGAGTTCAAATTCTACTATCGCAGAAGAGAGGGAAAGAGGAAGAAGAGAGGGTGTCAAGAGAGACACCAAAGCAGCTAGGGGGCTGAGGTAGGATAGGGGTACTTTTTTCTTCATGGTATAGGAGGTCTCCTGAAGGCTCTACAGAATAACCTTAGTAGCGAGGTTTTTGTTTTTCATTGTTGGTCGTGGGGCTTGAACGCTAGGCCTGGGCGCTGTCCCTGAGCTCTTCAGCTCAAGGCTAGAGCTCTACCACTTGAGCCACAGCACCACTTCCTTAGTAGCAAGATTTGAAGGAGCCTGCGGGTCACACCTCACCAACAGGTTCTGAACATCATACAGTTTTTAGTGATCATCGCAGTAGTAGAAAACAGGATGAGTGAGGGACTGAAACAATGAAAGCAGATTTTTTTTTAACAGGGTTGCTAAGCTGGGCACTGGTGGCTCACACCTGTAATCCTAGCTACTCAGGAAGCTGAGATCTGAGGATCACAGTTCAAATCCAGCTCAGGCAGGAAAGTCCATGAGACTCTTAGTTCCAATAAACCACTCAGAAAACCAGAAGTGGCACTGTAGCTCAAGTGGTAGAGCGCTAGCCTTGAGCTGAAGAGCTGAGGGACAGCGCCCAGGCCCAGAGCTCAAGCCCTACAACTGACAAAACCAACCAACCAATAGGGTTGTTGATGTGTGAGTATATTTAGTTTGGGGACAATAAGTAGCTGTCCTTACCCTGTCCTGCTGAATTGGGAGTCCCAGCAAGGTTGGGATGCAACCTCATTGCTTCAGGTGAGAACAGCCCCTGGAGCCTGGGGAGGTGCTAAGGTCCTGGGGAACCTTGGTCTGGGTGGAGACTCCCCCCAACACACACACTTGCACCACCTGCCCCCACTGGAGCTAGCATACATTACCAGTCGCAAGCCTGGGAGAGCAGCCTGGCAGTCTTCCCCCCCCCCCCCCCGCCGCCCCCCAATCCAGCCGCCACCCACCCCTGGGAGCAGCCCAGGCCTTCAGCCAACCTTCTCTGCTTTCCTTCCAGAAGACAATTCTAATTCAGATTCGGACTCCGACTGAAGGCCAGCTCGTGCCTCACACCTCTGCCTTCCTACCAGGGCTGCTGAGTGTGCCCAGGGGCCGCTGGTGTGGGAGGGAGGCTGCCTCCACAGGCCTCCCCCCAGGCTCCAGGTTACACTCAGGAGCCCCATGGACATGTGCCTCTTGGATTCAACGTTGAACCACTATGCTTGGGCACCATAAATATCCCACTTCCCACTCCTGTCCCACAGTCCTTCCACCCATTCATCTCGCTGCCAAAAGAGGCAGGTGATACAGCAGACATGGCCATCTCAGGTCATAGCATGTGCTGTAGGGTGGAGGCTGTGTTTCACTAATGGGAACAGACTGAGAACGCATGGCGGGGCCCACTCGGTAGGCCCTGGTGGCCTGTACATGGGGTACCCCTGCTCATGCTGGCACTTGAGAACAACCCCTCCAGGAATCTTTATTCAAGGAGCACAAGTTCCTTCCTCATCATGGGGGGAGAAAAGGACCTTGGCCTCCCTGTCTAGGAGAGGGTCTTGTCTCATCTTGACAGCTCACCCCTGGAAACCATGTCTTCCATTCTGGGTCTAAGACCAGCTCAGAAATCAGCTTATATAGACTTCCCTGCCAGAGTCAGCGGAGGGAGCCAACCAGAACAGGGCAGTCAGTGACTGTGGCATGGGCGGCTGGGCAGGCCCAGCAAAGCCCTCTTCCTGGGGACAAGAGCCCTGGGAACCCTGAGGACAGTGTGCTTCCTCTGGACCCCAGGGCAGGTCCACTGACCCCTCAGAAAAGATGAGACAATCTGTCCTCCTGTGTTCAATAAGGAACTTACACTGTGTATGTATCTTCATGGGATTTTTGTACCTTTTTTATATTTTTATACAAAATGAGCTTTTAATGAGTGGTGTTTTCTGTGACTCCCAAGACTTTGTGAATGAGCCAGAGTCTAGGTCCAAGTTTTGGGCATCTGTGGCCTTACTATTATCTTGCATGTGAATGCCTTGACCTGGGTGGGAGGAAATGCTATAATAGATTAAAGCAGACTGACTACGTGCATGGAATGTGTGTGTGTCTGAAAACCCTTCTGTCACCTAGAGCAGTACAGGTGCTGTAGCCAGCATCTCACCAGCCTGAGCTACCCTACAGCCAAGAACATACAATAGCTAAGTGACCAGCTCCCTCACTTGCACACCAGGACGTATCCCATGTCAGCCAGAAGTGAGGGCTCTCTTGGTTTGTTAACTGGTTTAACAGGGAGGACCCTGGTGAGTACTGTGGCCAAGCTGGGGCATTAACCTTCAATCATGACACAGCACAGCCTGAAAATGTATGGAAGTGGGATGTGCAGAGGCTGAGAGAAGCCCGCAGTGTTTAACTCGTGTTCCATGCCCGCACGGCAGTGGAGCCTGGTGGCGTGATACTGTGTGCCTTGAGTCCATGGCACTCTCAATGGAGGAGGCCATGGGAGCTGGGGCCACAGCCCTTGTGTGGGGGGAGGATAGACAGACAGAAGACACAAGGGCATTTTCACATGTCCATTTATTAAACAAGAACTCCTTCATGACAATTTAATACAATATTAATTAGCGATTAGTGTTGAGAAAATTATTTCCCTCTACATACAAAAATACAGATTTGAACACTATGAAGTCAAGACAAGTACCATGAAAAGTTGGTCCTTCAAAAGAAAAGAGGAAGATTGAGGGCAGTATGCAGCCTTGTGTGCTGTCAGGGAAGACAGCAGTACTCAACAGAAATGAACACGTTGTCCCCCGCCACCCTCCCAATCACTCCTAAGTATAGGGTCAGACCCAAGAACCAGGCTGGAGCTGGGAGACCCTCACCCCATGGCATCCTGGGAAGTTAGAGGCCAGAAGTGGAACCCTGCCCTGCCAACCACAGAAATCAGTTTTCCCAATGGTTAGCACCTCAAAAAGCCCCTAAGACTTTCTAGGCCAAAGTGACAGTTTGCCACCCAAAAGTGCCCCGTGGACAAGTACCAATGAGTGATCTTAGTGGAGAGTTATCACTTAGCTGGATTCCTCCAATGTCACTGAATTACACTTCTGACTTCAGGACAAAAATAAACAGCTACAGTTTCATGTTTTGGTAAGTCTGTACCTTCATGCAGCAATGGCTCAGTTACTTAGGATTTTCCTGGAGCAAACACAACTGGTGCTGCAGGGCTGGGAAGGAAGGAGCTGTAAGAGTAGGCCTGTACCTTGGTTTCATTCAGCTCCTCGCAGCAAGCACCTTACCATGTTCAGGCCCACAATCCAGAGCTGGCCATGAGCCCACTGGGGTGTCTACAACCCAGTCTGAAATGGAAGAAGATGAGGCCTGGAGCAGATTAGGGGGTTCCTAAGAAGTAGGCTACCTGGAGGTACCTTGGTAGATACCAAAGGAGAACACCCTGGGGGTCACCAGAGTGACAGGGCAAGGAGCAAGATATAGGCTTGCCCACTACTTCAGACCCAGAGGGAAAGTCAGATAATGGTTCCTTCCCTCCTTCATTCCTTCCTTCCTTTTTTCCACCCTTCCTCCTGTCCTTTTCTTTTTACTAAGAAACCACCTTCTTTTACTGTTGGGCTCTTCAAACTGAGCAAATGGTTGAACAATGCCAAATGCAGTTATGCTGACTGACTCATGATAATTTCACAGAAATATACTCTGACCCTAAGATACCATAAGTAAGCAGAAACACAAATGCAGTGGAGAGAATACACGAGTGGCCAGGGGCTTTTGTTCATTTGTTGTTGTTTTTTAAATACATATGAAGTTTAAAAGGAAGACGATCCAACCCTCAAGACCAGCCTGTTGAAAACAACATTAAAAGGACACAATCTGAATCATGCTACAAAAATAGTGTTATCTTTTTTTAACTAAATGTACATCTTTTTTTCCAATTCCATGGTTGACAGGAGTGCTTAAGTGACACATGGAAGGCACCAAAGGTGAAGTGATTGTTTGTCTTAAAATATACAAAGACAGAATTGCCTACTTTGAAAAAAAAATACAGTCATACCTGTAATAAATAGTGTAGTGTTTCTGCCATGGGTTCTAGAACCCCTACAAACTCAACATATACAAATATCTTCAGTCCCTAGCATTCTCCTAGAGGGGGCCATGTCAGACAAAACCAGGTTATAAAAAGCACTGATTTTAGGCAACTAGGTTAATTTCATCATGACTTGAAACCTTTCTGAAATGAGTTAGAGTCAAAGTCAGACATTAGTGGACCCTCTGGGTGTAAGCCAAGGTGGGGGCCACCCTTGCCCTCATTCCTCCCCAGCCGCTGAACCTTAGATTCTCCCTTCATCCCTGAACACTGGTCTTCACTTCCAGAGGGAAGGAAAGTCTTTAAACTTGCTAAGGCAAAATTCTGATGGTCAGGGATGCAAAGCAGGGCTTGAAGAGCGGAAGTGGCTATCAGGTCTGGCCCCGCCTTATGGGCACCCGGCTCACTGCCCTCAACTCCTGGCCATTCCTGATTTTTAAAGGGGGGAGGCACTTCCCAATGGGTGCCAGCAGCAGTGTCCAAAGACAACTCAGGGTTGGTGATTTCTGACTATCACAGAATCTGACATGAATAATGCTAAGAATCTTGTTTCCCACCAGGCACAATATTAACAAGCAATTAACTCTGAACCAGAATCTCAGCATAAAAAGAAAATAGATGATAAACTAACCTGACAACACAGCCATACTAGTCCAGGACCTAAGTTGCTAGGGCTTCAAGCTCAGTAGGCTTATAGATCATCTTTTTTTCCTTGCCTTTTCTTTACTGTTGTTTATGGAGTAAGAAAAACTAGAAAGAAAAATATCCTAAAGGCTGAGAAATTATGCCCAAATGGAAAAGAACATATTCCTGCAAGACACACAATAGTGTTTCAGGCTGAAGTGTGCAAGTGCTATTTACTGGCATGAAGTTGCCCCACAGAACACTCCCTTCTCAGAAGAAAGTTCTTCTAGCTCTAATATACCAAAGGCATTTTCTTTCAGAGACAATTTCTAAATAAAGGAAACACAAAAGGTCAAATATTTCAAATTGCTTTCTGACCCAGAATGATACTATGATTTTGAAGATGTCTTTGGGAAGAGGAAAAAAATACATTTTATAGAGTGAAGAAAATTTACAAAGCAAGAAGGTGGTGGTCCTGTTAGGTCTGTGTCCTGCCTGGGATGCACTTAAGCTGGATCAGTCACCTGCTTGTACCCAGACTCCAAACCAAGAGGCCCCTCAGCACCAGGGAAGAGTGGTCCCCATGTCAACTCTCCCTCCAGCTCATTCATGAAAACAAGACAAAGGCACAGGAAAGTAGTTAGCCAGGTACACATTTCCAGGGCAGTCTGGGATTGTAAACAAGTCTAGTGCTACCAGCAGCAGTCTCTCCTCCTCTTTTTCTTCTTCCTCCTGTCCTTGGGCAGACATTAACTGGGCACTCAGCCCTTGCCTAGCGGGCCTTGGTCACCCCACTGATAAAGGTCAGATAGCAAAGAGAGAAACTCTGAATCCTACAACATCATTAGGGGTTAGAAAGGCCTCTGGAGACCTTCAGAGACAGCAGCAGCACTCAGAGTCAGAAGCAGCCTTCTCTTTTACTCACAAGAACTGACTAGAGCTCTTGGTCTACAGTGTGTTCTCCTTCCTGCTACCTCATCAATGTGGCTACTGCTCTGTGGACTAGATCTAGGAGAAAACAGCAACCAGGCAATGGCACAGTGACTACAGGACTGCTTCGCTGTGAACACAGGGCAGAAACCACCTACATTATCAAAACCTGGCCACAAGAACACACTCCACTCTCTGATGGCACTAAGAGTAACAAGTCATCAACCCACAGAAAATCCGGTGTGGAAAGGGATGAAACCTTGACCCACCTTTGAGATCGTGGAGAGGTCAGGGGTTTCTTTAGAGAAGGGGTGAGCTTGGGCCTCACAAAGGATTATCCAAGCAAGACTTACATATATCCACGGATGAGAAGCCTTCATCATAACTGCCTGTGTTTAACCCAGGCCTGCGTGGCCAGGAAAGCTTCAGAGAGGGCCAAGGACACTGACAACTTGAAAAGAACAAGAATATTTCCAACCAAGCCACGAGCCATAAAGCTCTTGCCAGCAGCACCCAGGATGAGGTAGAGACCAAGCATACCAGACATGGCACGGTAACAAAAGGGGCTCCAGGACCAAGACCTCAGAGCCTTACTTACTGGTCCTCACTGATTTCCCGGGGATTGCACAGTGGCTGCACTCTGCCCAATCTGCTCATGTTCCTAAGGAAGATGTGAGCACTACTGCATTCTTGCTTTCTTTGTAGACAAAAGCAATTTTCTTTGGGTAGTTGTTTGCTTTAAATTGAGCTTCTCTGAGGAGATCTTAATGACTATAGTCGCTCTCTATGAACAGGGAAAGGTACTTCTCCCTCCCCAGGCCTTGGCTTTGTGAAGTAGAATCAGAAAGAAAACATCCAATAGACCAAACTAGTGCCAAAACAAACTTCCTCTGAACATGACAGTGTTTGTACCCATCCAAACCATTAGAGGGTCTACCAATGATAGAGGGCTTCATCTGCAGAAACACTCTGGACCCTCCAAGTCAATTTATTCCACCAGAAAATGGAGAAAACTAAGCTTACCTCAGCCTTGAAATACCCCAAACTTAAGTGGCACTAGTCCATACTAGAATGACTAAGTGTAAAAACACTGGGTGCTGCAATCCTAGCTATTCAGGAGACTGAGATCTAAAAATCATGGTTCAAAACCAGCTAGGGCAGGAAAGTCAATTAACTACCAAAAAGCCAGAAGTGGATCTGTAGCTCAAGTGGCAGAGTGCTAGTCTTGAGCAAAAAAAGCTCAGGGACAGTGTCCAGGCCCTACTTCAAGTCCCAGGACTGGCGTGTGTTCATGTGCACATGCCCATACACGCCCATTCACGCGCGCGCGCGCACGCACACACACGCACACACACGCACACACATACACCATCTTTCCTTCAATTTGCAGAGATCAGTTTAAGACCCCAAAACTTAAGAGACAACTAAGAAAAATACAGGTGTCTTGACAGCACTGCAGATGACCATCATCCTTCTTTACTGTTCTTCAGGCCACACCCTCAGTACACTCAGTGCACTCTGCTCACTCAGAACATATACAGGCCACTTCTGATTTGATGAGAACTAATTAAATAGAACAAGGAAATACATTTACAAAACCCTTGGGAAGCCTCATATCACAAAGGAATTAAATAGTTACTGAGACATAAATAATGCCAAAGATTTCTATCTCTAAGATTCAAATTAACTCCCAAGCCTGTCTGGGCACAAGACAGCATGGCTTCCTAGCCTCCCTGGGTACTTACTGTCTTCTTGGGCCTCAGACCTCTTCCTTTCAGCTGAAAGTACATCCTCAGGAGGCCAGGCATTGTCCCTTTTCACCAGATGAAAAACTGGTTTTACTGAGCTGACCAGGGAAACTCAGGCAACAATCCCGCCCAAATTGTTTTTTCTCAGACTCACTTCAAAAATGGCCTTCTACCAAGGCCAAGTAATATGACTCCTGGCAGATTCCTGATAAAGCTCAGGGTGGTCCTTCCAAGTGGGCCCCAGCTGATGCATGGCTTGTTCTTTGTGAACTGATTTTGAATGGAATTCGCAGAGGGAGATAAGCCCATTTTTGATCATGCAGACACACTCAAATAAACATGTAAAATGAACAGATAAAATCCAGATGCCATCATCCCCTCCATATCACCCCATCTAATAAATTCAAAGCTGGGGAAGCATGAGGTGATCTGACTCAGACAGACATGTGAAGTAGGCTCCACCGGACTCACCAGGCATGGGGCCAGACCCAGCCTACCCTCTGTGGGAGAAGCAGGGAGGGGTAGGAGTTACCACGAAACTAGCTGGGTCAGCCCCTGAAACCAGACACAAGCTTGGCCATGTGACCTGGGCCATACGACCTGGGCCATGCCCCAGACAGGAACCACAGCAGAAGTGGACTGTGATGGACACTGGGTTTAAGGAGCTGACCTTGGGCCCTGACTACCAGACTGCCATCTACTGACCAGCAGGCCCTCTTCACTGTTAACTCAGATACTGTTCTTTCCTGAAGACTGCAGTGCCACACAGGCTTAGAGAGAGACATATCATGTGTTCTCCTCCCCAAGCTAAACATGTGTACCACCCCCTTCTCGGCTGTTTAGTTCTTAGTACACTGTGGGGCTATGAGTCATCCTTGGTACAAGATTCTGGGGGCTCTCCACACTACTGTAAGACCTTCCTGCCAACAATGTCTTTTCCTCAGTAGGGCTAATTCCAAAATACTAGAGTGAAGTCTGTAAACATTACAATGGTTTAGAGTGAAAACCTGACAAATTAAGATAGTTTTTCCATAAAAGATAAAATTACTCTCTAACAACACAAAAACTACAGCATCCTAGGGGCTTATTTAACTCATTCACCACAAAAATAATCCTCACTTTATCAAGAACCAATCAAAAAACTAGAATTTTTCCCCCAACAGCTTCCAAGAATGATGTTCATAATGATAACATCCAAAGCAACAATTAGTGCCTTACAACATCCATGGAAGGACATGCCCTGGTAAAAATTCAAGTATGCTTGAATCCTAAACAAGTCTACCCAGAATGACTTTAGAACTCTTCTCAGGTATTTAGAAAGTTAGTTCATATCCATAAAACAAAGGTGTGTATGTGTGTGTGTGCTGATTTGTAGTACATACATGCATACACACGTGCATGTGAGCACATGTGTGCATGCACACACATATACAAACACACACAAATGCACACACACACACACAAACTTCCCATATGTGGTCCAGGAGGCCAGCAGGCTGGCAAGTGCTTTGGCTGGTGGAATGGGCTGTGTTATCTTCATGGCTTTTACCTAAGAAGATGAAACTGCAGGAACTCTGCAACTCAGCCTCCAGGTATTTAGGGTAGGCAGGAAACTGGCAAACAAGATGGTCCCCATATCACTGGATGAGTCTGGGACTTAGGAAGGTGGTCCTTTTGAGGAAGAATCAAATGATTTCTCAGCAAGGTGGGAGAAAAATGGTGACTTTCCCATAAGTCAGTGTCCCATGGAGCTGTCCCCACAGAACACCAGCTTTTCCTGTCCCTGCAACACACAGACAAAGCAAAGAGATCCACCAACACATCCATCACCAAGATCCTCAGAAGCCCATGTGGCCTTCGGGCACCCCAGGTATGGAAGACGATGACGAGGGTGGATCCTGGCAGACAGACTCAACATCCACCAAGAGCCCACTACAGGGGCTGCCCAGAAATCAAGGCTGACTGCTGCAACCCTAGACCTTCATAGCCTGACATCTTAGCAGCCCCATTTAACCCCAAGTTCTGACTCATCAGAAATACATATGACAAAGTGGCTCTGGGATGAGAGCCAATGCTCTGGGACAGCTGAGACCTAGAGTGGACATGGGTGGTCAGCAGGGGTGCTGCCCCCACAGCCACCCAGGGCCAGAGGATACAGGCCTCTCCAGCCACACAAAGCTGACCACTGGGCCACTTTAGAAAGCCTTTCCCAAAGTGAATTTTTACCAAAGGGGACAAAATTCAACGGAATCACATGATGATCTAATGTGCTCAGAGAAAGAAAACTTGATTGAAGGACAGGTGAGCATGTGGTAGAAGCAGGACTCTGGGGTTCCTCACGTGTCCAGACGCTGGATCTCCGGGCGACTGTCCACATCTCTAGACTCGGTGCGGGCTCGAATGTAGTCATTGGCGCTCTGCTGGCGGATGCTGACTCTCCATTTCTGCACAGCCAGGAAAGTGCTCGCTGCATAAGCTGCTGTTGCCAAGAAGCCAAATATCTAAAGTACACAGATACCATTAGCCTTGGACACAAGTCCCAAACCTGATGGCTTCATGGGGACCTGATCTGCATGAACTCCATCCAGCTGTTCCCATCCTCTGCTCTGCTCAATGAATAGTTATTACAGTTGTCTTCAGTCTCTAATCATGTGACCCACAGATAATGCTACTGACCTGAAGATAGCCTAAGGAGTCTTTTGATACACTTTGGACCTTCAAAATAAAAAATCACTAAAGTACATCTTTTATCACATGTAATTCATAGGCTCTGCTCCAAATGTGAAAAGATATATGAAATATGATATAGAAAGAATTTTAGCCAGGAGCCGGTGGCTCACACCTATAATCCTAACTACTCAGGAGGCTGAGATCTGAAGATTACAGTTCAAAGCCAGCTGAGGCAGGAAAGTCCGTGAGACTCTTTTTTTTTTTTTTCAGTCGTGGGGCCTGAACTCTGGGCCTGGGCGCTGTCCCTCAGCTCTTCAGCTCAAGCCTAGCACTCTACCACTTGAGCCAAAGAGCCACTTCTGGCTTTTTTCTTTTTGCTTTGTGGTGCTGAGGAATCGAACCCAGGGCCTCAGGCATGCAAGGCAAGCGCTCTACCACTGAGCCACCTTCCCAGCCTCCGTGAGACTCTTATCTCCAATAAACCACCAGAAAACTGGAAGTAGTACTGTGGCTTAAGTAGTAGCGCAATATCCTTGAGCTGAAGAGCCCAGGGACAGTGGCCATGCCCAGAGTTCAAGCCCCATGACTGACAAAAAAAAAAAAAAAAAAGAATTTCAGAGTCTCACATCAAGCTACAAGGCTGACAGCTCGCAGCCCCCCCAACTACCTGCTGCCTGCTCATCTGGGCCACCCCAGTCAGCAGCTCCAGGTGACAAGCAGTAGGGCTTGCATCATCCAGGCAGGCTTAAATAAGCTACTAAGTGCTATTTATAAAACAGTCAGATAAATGAGTTTTAAAAATCTTTAAATCCTCCCACTTGAGACGGAGGAATACATGACCCTTACAAGTGGACAGTATATAAAAACATAGAGCACAAGGTATGAGTGCCTTCTATCTGGTCCCCAGCTCCCACATCCTAACCCCATGGCCAGACACATGTCAGGGGACAGGCAAGAACACAGGAACAAAGAGCCCAGAAATGTGAAATTAGCTTGCCCTTTGACCCTTCCAGTTGCTTACCACAGCGGCAATCTCTGCTCCGGTCTTGTGGTTTAAAGCAGCCAGTACGATGGAGGCAATAAAGAAAAAGAAAGTGCTGAGTCCAGTGTTGACCAAATCCTAAGGAAAAAGATCAAATAAAACCACTTGAAAAAAGTCTGCCTAAAAGCAACCAAAGAACTTCCACACAAAGGTCCACAACCAACTTCAGATAGTTCTGAACCTCGGTCTCCACATCACACAGACTTTAGTCACACAAAGTAACAGTTTATGCCGTTGCTGGGCAAACTGCCACAGCCAAATCCATATTTCCCCCCTACCACATCACCAGTCATTGACCTAAATGACCACCAAAACTGGTAACATTAATTATCATTTAAAGTTGTTACCATTTATAGAGTTCTGATTTATTTACTTAGTTTGTTAGTTACAGTGCTGGTGATGAATCCCAGGGCTTCATGCATGCTAGGCCAGCACTCTACTGCTAAGCTGTACCCCCAAGCCTCTAGTTTCATCATTTCAAATAGATACTCAAAAAAAATTTTTTTCTTTTTTTTGGGTCCGGTCGTGGGGCCTGAACTCTGGGCCTGGGCACTGTCCCTCAGCTCTTCAGCTCAAGGCTAGAGCTACCACTTGAGCCACAGGGTCACTTCCGGCTTTTTTCTTTTTTGCTTACATGGTGCTAAGGAATTGAACCCAGGGCCTCATGCATGCAAGGCAAGCGCTCTACCACTGAGCCACCTTCCCAGCCCCTAGATACTCAAAATTTAACAAAAAAAAAATAAGCCAGGCACAGGAGCTCACTCCTATAATCCTAACTCCTCAGGAAACAAACCAGAGATCAGAAGGACATCCCAGACAAAAAGTTATTGACATTATATCTTCATCAATATGAGGGTAGTGGTGTATGACAGGAATCCTGGCTATGCAGGAAGCTATAGGTAGGAGGGTCTTGGTCCATCCAAAAACATAAGACCCTGTGCAGAAAAACACAATAAAATAAAATAATAAAGCAAAGAACTGGAGGTGTGGATCAAATGGTGGAATACCTCCTATAAACACAAAGCCAGAGGTTCAAAGCCCAACACCACCAAAAACCAAAGGAAGAGACAACACTGACATCGGATGTGGACCAAGCTCTCCACGAATCCTAATGAACCAAAACAGGGCAGTCCCTCTGCCTTCCTCACCATCATGCGGGACACTTACAGTATATACTATTTTCCAAGAACATACTTTTTCTGTTTTCAAACCCCTTCCTCCCAGAGTTGCTCTAGGGATTAAAGAGAACCACATAGGTAACAAGCCCCACACAGCGCCTGGCCCAGTTGGGGTGTTTTACACATTCACAGATACTTTTTGTTTTTCTAGGTACTGAGGCTCAAACTCAGGACCTCACATTCTCCCTTGGGTTTTTCACTCATGGCTGATACTCTACATTTAAGACATACCTCAAGTTCCAGCTTTTTACTGGTAAATTAGAGTTAAGAATCTCTTGGACTTGTCTGTCCCAGCTGGCTCTGAACCATGATCCTCAGATCTCAGTCTCCTCAGTAGCTAGGTGTGATAGGTGTGAGCTACCTAGCACCCAGACAGCCTTCTCTTTTGATACACTGGTCTCAGGTTGAGTCTCACTTTGTGCCTGGGCTGCAATCATTCTACTTGTGTTTCCCTGTGTCACTGGGATGACAGGCTCACACCACTGCACCCAGCCATTGTGCTTCCCCCCATAGCTGAGATAAAAGGTGCACATCACCTTATCAAGCCACTGGTTGAGACAGAGTCTCACAGACTTTTATGCCCTGGTTGGCCTTGCACCTCAAGTCCTTATCTCTGCCTCCAAATAGCTAGTACTACAGGTTTGCAATCAGAAGCACAACATTTTCAGCACACATAACACACACACATACATAGCACATTCACTAGCCGTCATTCCTCATTCATATCCCAATCCTAGGCAACCATTAACCTGTACTCAGGTCTCTAATTTGCCTATATTTGTATATCTCATAGAAACAGACTGACATACTGTATGTGGTCTGTACCTGGCTTATTCTGTTTAGCATAATTATTCTAAGAATTATCCTACTTTTTGTTTATTATGAATAGTTATGAGCTTACAAGATTTTATTTGAATGTATGCTTGCCTTTCTCTTGAGTCATCAAAGTGTTTTTTTTTTTTTTTTTGTCGGTCGTGGGGCTTGAACACTGTCCTTGGGCTCTTCAGCTCAAGGTGAGCACTCTACCGCTTGAGCCACAGTGCCACTTCCGGTTTTCTGGTGGTTTATTGGAGATAAGAGTCCAGAGCTGGGAAGGTGGCTCAGTGGTAGAGCGCTTGCCTTGCATGCCTAAGGCCCTGGGTTCGATTCCTCAGCACCACATAAGCAAAAAGAAAAAAGCCAGAAGTGGCGCTGTGGCTCAAGTGGTAGAGTGCTAGGCTTGAGCTGAAGAGCTAAGGGACAGCGCCCAGGCCCAGAGTTCAGGCCCCACAACCAGACCCAAAAAAAAAAAAAAAGAGTCCTGCCTGGGCTGGCTTTGAACCGTGATCCTCAGATCTCAGCCTCCTGAGTAGCTCAGATTACAGGCATGAGCCACTGGCACCCAGTTTCATCACAGATTTTTAAAAATACTTATCCTCTAGTTTTTCTACAACAAACATTTATTACTTGCTCAATTAATAAAAGGCTCAAGACTGGGATATTATCAAAGTTAGCACGCTCAATTAATGTGAGTTCCTGTGCTACGTGACAGAATCAAGCTGTTGACTTGTCCTTTATATTAAGGGCATCCCTTGGTGTGTCATCAAAGGAAGAGGGGATTTAAACGTCAAAATAGGTGTCTAAATGTTTTAGTGCCTTTGATGAGACAGGTACTCTTTGGTTTGCCACAGTCCTCCCCACTCCCTGCGGTCTCACACAACCACTTTATGTCATCTGTCTGGTTCCTGAAAGGTTACTGCCCCTCCTTATGCTAAGAGATGAAGAGGAATGCCATATGTAAACAAATGCTTTTGCTCTTGTTTTCAATAACATACCCCTGTAAGCACAGGTGTATACCTAGGCAACCCAGTAAAAGATCAATACCATCTGGTCTGGACAACACTAACTACTCTTGAAAAATTGTACTAGCAGTTCAAATCAGCTAGCACTAAGCAGGGGACCACCCTCTCTGCCCCAGACTCCTAGCCCCCCATCTCCTTTCTTACCTGTTTGTGCCATATGCCCATCCCTGGTGAGTCCTGACCCCGTTCCATACTCTGTGCCAAGAAATCACTTCTTATACCTTGAGGCCCATTTGGAGCCTGGCATTTCCTCTGAGCGTCCTGCCCAGCCCATATCTGCTACTGAGACACTCACCTGCTCACCAGTGGTCCTAACCTCACATACCACCAGATCCTGGTGAGCACTCATCTCACTGAAGAGCAGTTTGCAGCCTGAACTCTACTTCTAGTTCCAAAACCTGGCATGAAGCAGGTGTCAATGTTTGCTAAATGATCTGGAATGAGACTCTTATGCACTGGATCCACCCTAAGTCATCACAGCACATTAGTGGCTCAAATACCAGTCTGTAGGCCTCATTCAAATGATACAGAACTAGCCGCAAGCAAGAAAGCCAAGTGAGAATGTGTGAAGTATTGAGTTCAAGCCCTGATACCAGCACACACACACACACATACACACACAGAGCTATAGATTTGATCAAATTACTGAAATTTCTTGAGTCAAAAAGCATTTTTTCTTATTTACAGAAAGCTTTGAAGTTTGCTCTTTTTTTTTGAGACAGGGCTTAAGTTGCCCAGATTGGTCTCAAACTCCTGACCTCAAGAAATCCTTCTACCACCATCTCTCAAGTAGCTAGAATCACCAATATATGATGTTACTATGGCTGGCTAATTAGGCTTCAGTTCAAGCTAATGAAGTCACTCTTGTTAGGGAAGAGGTGATAATTTCAGCACGGGGTGGAGGTGGGGGCCAGGGTGGTAGCCAGAAAAAGTAACTGCAGGAATAAAGGGTAAAAACTTTTAGTTCTTGCCCTGAATGCTGAGTTCAATTACCCAGTGACCAATGATTTGACCAATAATCATGCCTACCTAAGGAAATCTCACGTTCAAAAATACCCCAAACTGTGGGGCCCAGGAGCTCCTTCATTGGCAGGTACACTCAAATACTGGGACCACACAGGGACAAAAGCTCCTGCACACTTGGCCCTTACAAACCTCATCCTGTGCATCTCTTTCATTTGGCTGCCCACAAGCTGTATGCTTTTAACAAACCAGAATTGCAAGGAAATTATTTTCCTGAGTTTTGTGAGCCGTGGTAGAAAATTATGGAGCCTGAGAAGGGCTTGTGGAAACCCAAATCTGTAGTGAGCCAGGCCGAAGTAGCTGCACACTCCAGCTGAAACTGTTATCTGAGGCAAGACAATCCAGAGCTGAGCCATGAACCTGTGGATCTGTCTGTGCTAACTGTGGGAGCTGGTATCAAAGATGAATGAAGTACTGAACACCTAATTGCTGTTGAAGAGTTAAGGATTGCTTAGCATGGCATAGATACTTGGTGTGTATGAAGGGGAGGAGGAATCATGATTAAGAGCTCAGGGCTCCAAAACAGCCACTCTGAATGACTCTAAACCTTTCTGAATCCACCATGACACTAGTCTAGGTTCATAGATAGGAAGAATCTGGGCAAAGAGCCAGAACTAGTGGCCATTGAGCAGGAACAGCCAAGGAAGAAGGAAGCCAGGAACAGGTGACATATGAGAAAGCACAGAAAGCATGGCCAGAGGGATGGAGAATCCCAAATAAGTCACTACCAGTGGGGTGAGGCCCTGAGCAGATGGAGGATCCAGAATATGAGGGCTTTTAATGGTGGTGTGGGGACAGAAGCCAGATTGGCAAGGTTAGGATGGTGAGTTGGAGAAGGGGAACTTGTCTTTGGAAATAACACAGAGGAGAATATCCAAGTTCTTGCCTTAGGTGGTAGCTACATAATCACTGTAATTCTTCATTATAATATACATGAACTTCCAGGATTTTCTTAACAGTTAATAATTAGAAAAGCAACCAGGCTATAGGGAAGTAGTGAAGGCAGGCAGGTTCAAATCTCCTCTTTAGGGAAGTTTGGATGCGCAGGCTTTGGCTCAGGTGGCAACTAAGAAGATAGAAGCCACTGACAGGTTTGGGGTAGTGGGTCAGACATCCACAAGCAGATGGGCCAGGTGAGCAAATGCTGGAAGAAGGGAGGAACGAGATGAACACGTAGCCTGGACACTAATGGAGATAAAAAGGGTGGAACATATAAATGTGTGAGCTCCTAGTATACAGAGAAAAACACCACAGAATAAATCCCTCAAATGGGGATTTGTTAACATTAGAATCTCTGAGAGCTGAAAGCACTGGTTGAGCAGTATAGTACCTGCCTGCTTGCCTTACAAGCATAAGGTCCTGAGTTCAAACTCCAGTACTGGCAAAAATTAAAATAAGATGAATATAAATAAATCTCAAGTATAGCTCAAACAATCTAAGGGCAGAACTCAAATAATAGCGCTCTTGTCTAGCAAGTATGAGGCCCTAGGTTTAATCCCAAGTACTCAGGAAAATAATAAACACTCTGGGAGCAAGGCCGAGGTCATCTTATTCACTGGTATCCCAGTTGCCTGAAGTTACTAAGGCCCTCTCAATAAACACTAGCTGAGGAAGGTACTGGGCTGAGGAGTTGAAGAGTGAATGTAACTCTGCAGGAAAGGGGCCTGAGACTGACTGACTCTGAGCTTCCCAGGGCAACTGACCACATGTCCAAACCGGGCTAAGAACTCAAACCACAGAGAAAAAGAAGCACGCCCTTTTTTTGTTGTTGTTAGTCATGGTGCTTGAACTCAGGCCTAGGTACTGTCCCTGAGCTCTATCACTTTTAGTTACATTGCTACTTCCAGTTTTCTGGTAGTTAATTGGAGCTAGGAGTCTCGTGGACTTTTCTGTCTAGGCTGACTTTGAACTGCGATCCTCAGAGATCATCCTTCTGAGTAGCTAGGATTAAAGGTGGGAGCCATCTGTCCCAGCAGAAAGCATACCTTTCTTTTTTTTTTTTTGCAGTCATGGGGCCTGAACTCTGGGCCTGGGTGCTGTCCCTTAGCTCTTCAGCTCAAGGCTAAGGCTCTACCACTTAAGACACAGTGCCACTTCTGGCTTTTTTCTGCTTATGTGGTGCTGAGGAATCAAACCCAGGGCCTCATGCATGCAAGGCAAGCACTCTACCATTGACCACCTTCCCAGCCCCAAGCATACGTTTCTATCAAAGATGTTTTGAGCAAAGCACTCAAACCTTTCCCAGATGCTCCAGATTAATAATTACTTCTAAACTTCACAAGTCATGAACATTTATATTCATACTTTCAATTCCTCCAAAATCAATATTTTTGTAACTAGCTTTTGTGTCTAGTATAAAAAATATGCAAATGTATTAATGCCACTTTCCCATATTTTGAGAATACCAACACAATGAATCTTCTCAGATGATCATCAAGTAAAAATGACATCTTTAAAAGAGCCTAGACAATTTTGCTATGGTGTTCCTAGATGGGTTAAGATTTAATTCATATTGTAGTTTTAGACAAATAGGTAAAGAAATTTTAAAATTTCACAGATCAACTATAATGAGATATTTAAATGTTAAAATAAACTAGAACCAAACATGATCTAGAGAGGTTCCAAGTCTCCAAGCAGCCCCAATCCTCAGGTAGTCGTGTGGCCTATACTCACTGTCAGGTTCCAGTTGATCTGGGGGATCCTCATGTGGAGGTTGAGACTGAACAGAACCAGCAAGACTCCAGTCACCACAAATGCACTGCAGCTTACAAACTCGAAAAAGTAGAGGCCTTCGCACGGGGAGCATTCCATGATGGTCTCAATGCAGATGAACGCAATTAGGGACAAAATCTAGGAAGAAAATTGGAAACGTACATGCATGTGTATATTTAGTACATATTTGTGGACATACATGCCTATCGTGTTAAAGCAAAACAACAACAGCCATAGAGTTCTCTAGGGATTACAATGTAACTGTAAGAAATATGACCTGCTTCAATTCTTAGGTAGAAAAGGTAGAGAGAGGCCTAAATAAAAGGATCAAATTCCTTAGTTAGGTGCCAGTGGCTCATCTGTAATCCTAGCTACTCAGAAGGCTGAGAACTGAAGGATAGCAGTTCAAAGCCAGCCCAGGCAGAATATCTGTGAGACTCCATCTCCAATTAACCAACAAAATGCTGGATTGGAGGTGTGTCTCAAGTGAAAGAATGCTAGCCCTGGGTAAGAAAGTCAAATGAGAATACAAAGCCCTGAGTTAAGTGCTAGTACCCAGCACACATGCGTGTATGCATACACACACACACACACATGTACACACACACACACAGCCAAAAGGATCAAATTCTTAATGTAAACATGGAAGGCCCCACCACTATACTGAAATCAGCCTAGTATGGGGTAGCCCTGGGAGGGAACAGCTGGCCCTTAGAGAGAAGAAGAAAAACACTTCTGTGATGTTCAGGTTTTTCTTTTGCCACCATACTTCCTAAGTTGCCTATCCCTGTTAATCATCTCTAGCCCAGTTCTGCCACACGCCAAAAGAGGGGAATCCTGTGCTATCTAATGCTAGCTGGGAGGTTCATGCTAGGCTGACCCCAGCTAAATGGGATCACAATGGCTTGAAAAGAATGACTGACACAACCTCTTCTTCCCCCATATGCTTTTCAAAGTGTATCACTGGATTTCATCACAGGAAGACAGACTGGCAATTTATTTTAAAAAATGAAAAATCAACCAATGATAGAATCAATTCCTTTCTGAAAGACAAAAGTTAACATTCTAAGCAGAGTTCAGAGAGACACCAACAGAAGTTACCAAGGAAACTTGTAGAGGAAGGAGACAGCCCAAGCCTGTGGTAACAGACCTAGGACCAAGGGAAGGTCAAGTGGTTTGGGGCCATTGGTCCCTTGGTTTCCTGGCCTCTGCTTGGCTCCCTTCCAGGAGCCACTCAGGGAGTGGCCCTAACCCCACAGGTTAAGGAAGCAGAGGCAGGGAGCCCCACACACGGGATGTGGGGTGTGAAATGCAGAAGCAGCTCTGCCTCCAGCTTGCCCAGCAGATCTGGAATCTGCTTTCTGACCAAGGCCCCAGATGACTAATGTGGAGAAGCAGCCAAGGCACAGGCTGCCCTGGGGCCCTCCCCTCCTTCCTTCCTCCACCTCCCTCCTGAAATCCCACTAACACTTTCAGTGTTCCTCTCAATGGGCCACCTCAAGGGGCAGTCTTTCTATTCCACCCTCCCCCAGGGCCCTGTCCTCCCTCTGCTTTCACAGTCCATCTCTCTGCCTCCTGGGCATGTGAGAGCAGGGTCAGGCCAGCTCCCTTGACTCCTAAGACATAATGCACAATATCATGCATAGAGTTGGCAAACTGGGCTACTACAGCCCCCACATCTACCATTCTTGACAAATTTTGTCAAGTTGTCTGCCAACAGAGGGGTGGGTCTGCTTTCCCACTATCCATACTTGTAGGCAACACATCTTTCCTAACCATCCCTGGTATGCTCACCTTTCCAGTCTTTTTTTTTTTTTTTTGGATCCGGTCGTGGGGCCTGAACTCTGGGCCTGGGCGCTGTCCCTCAGCTCTTCAGCTCAAGGCTAGCGCTCTACCACTTGGCCACAGCGCCACTTCCGGCTTTTTTCTTTTTGCTTATGTGGTGCTGAGGAATCGAACCCAGGGCCTCATGCATGCAAGGCAAGCGCTCTACCACTGAGTCACCTTCCCAGCCCTCACCTTTCCATTCTTAAGTCAACATATAATATACAATTCAGGTTGGTCAAAGGATGCAAAATTTCAATTAGGCAAGAAGAATTAGTTCAAGAGCTCTATTGTGCAATATGCTGGCTATCATTTTTATAACAGTGTATCAGATTTTAAAAATGGGTAAGAAGCAGAGCTTAATTCTTTTTACTAAAACAAAAAATAAGTGAGGTAATGTGCAAGCTGGAGTCATTCCACAATATATACATATTTTAAAACATCACGTAGCACCCAGTAAACATATACAGCTTTTATCTGTCCATTAGAAAATAAAAGACATAGTCTCTGAATACATACTTTGTACTTTTCCTAATGACTCTCCTTATAATTCTCCATAGGACCTTAGACCTTAATTCACTCTCTAAATTACATGCCTAACTTGCAATCTATTCACAAAAGAAACAGTTCATATAAGGGAAACTCCTAAACTACTTTTTCTTTTTTCATCCCTGTAATCGGATCTACTAATCTTGGGCAAGAAATAACACACTATACTGATGAGTTACAAATGTTTCTGGTATGTTAACTTCAACCATATTTGTGAGGAAAGGTAACACCTACATTTTTAAAAGTTAAAATGAAAACAGCTTCAAGAATATGCTAATATGAAAGGCCACTTACAGCCCTTAACAAGATTTTTAAAACCCTGTTTGCTAGCTCATAGATTTTTGTTTGTTTTAATTAAATAAAGGCTAGAATAGGGGACTAAGGAGAAAGACTAAAGGCAGGGCAGGCGAATGAAGCAGAAGCAGGCAGGATGCAGAAGCCCTAGAACAGGCTGGAATAGTGCTGTGGGAAGCAGAGGAGGCTCTCAGGAGGAAGGGCAGGTGAAAGGCAGGAGATCAATCAGCTAGGGCCTGAGCAGGGGCTTTCAGGAAGGAGGTTTTCAGGAAGGGAGGCTAAATACATATGCTCAAGGCCAGACAGGTCTGGAATCAAAGAAAGCATTAAGGAAGCACTTAGAGAGAGGTACAAAGAGATTTGAGTCTTGTAACCACATTGTACAATATATATTAAATAAGTAAATAAATAGCGACCAGCTATTGCAGAGTGAAGGACCACAGGAGACTGGTCTGTTGCAGGCTTCTACAAAACCCTGAAGAGGGGTGAATGGAGCATGGACTAGGTGGGTGCAGTACAGATGATGACAGGGTTAAACTCTTGGCCTATGTTGAAGAGCCCATAGCTCTTGCTGACAGATAACTAGATGTGAGAGGAAGAGAAGTAAGTGTAAGTCTAGGTCTTCCCTGCCAAGCAGTGGGAAGAATGGCATTGCCATCTTGAGATAAGGAAGCCTGCAAGGGATCTGGTTTGCAGGGGGAAGGATCTCAGATTCTCAGTTTAGAACATGGTTAAGGATGAAGTAGAAGGATGTAGAGTTCAAGGTCAGCCTGAGCTATACAGGAAGACCCTGCTTAATCAATCACATTTTCAGCTACCAAGTGGGTGTGTCAGCTTCTAGGATGGCCTTACCCATGTAGGCCTCCCTGGTATTTGCATCCTGTGACACAATAGATATGGCTTACCTATTATTACCTGATTTAACTTGCTAGGTCAGGAAAGTCTATGTGATTCCTGCTTTGCTCTTTGCCTCTGTGGGATCACTTACTTTGGGGAAAAGGCATTTTTCAGTCTCAAAGACATTCAATAGGCCTGTGCAGAGACCAAGTGCCAAAGAAGTAAAGCCTCCTACCAACAGCCAAGTGAGTGAGCCTTCTCAGGAGCAGATCAACCTGCCTTCAGTTGACACTGCCCCAGCTGACACCCTTACCGTGACCACATGAGAGGGCTAGAGCAAAGCCACCCTAGAATTTCAAAACCCTAAAAGCAAAATAATAATAAAGGATTTTAGCATGGAGCTAGCTAGTGGCCCAAACCTGTAAACCTTGCTATTCAGGAAGATGAGGTCTGAGGATCATTCTTTGAAGCCAGCCCTGGAAGAAGTATATGTGAGGCTCTATTTCCAATTAACTAGCAAAAAGCTGGAAGTAGAGCTGTGATTCAAGTGGTAGACTATCAGACTTGAGCAAAAAATCCAAGTGAATAATACACAAGGGCATGAGTTCAATCCCCAGTACTGGTACACAATAATAATAATAATAGCCAGGCCCTGCTGTCTCACACCTACAATCCTAGCTACTCAGGAGCCTGAAACCTGAGGATCTTAGCTCAAAGCCAGCCCCAGAAGGAAAGTCTGTGAGACTCTTATCTCCAACTGACCACAAGAAAGCTAAAAGTATAGCTGGGGCTCAAGTGGTAGAGTGCTAGTTTTAGGCAAAAAGGCTCAGGGACAGTGCCCAAGCCCTGAGTTTAAGCCCTCAGACTGGCACAAAAGATAATAATAATAATATGGATTATTATTTCAAGCCACTGGGAGTAATTATGCAGCAATAGATAAGATGTTAGGGAGCTTTGTTCATATAGTTACTAATAGAATTAAATACCTACTAGTCATTACCTGGGGACAAATCAAGCACTATACAGATAGAAGTGGAGCTGTGTGTGGCTCAAGAAGTCAAGCACTAGCCTTGAGCAGAAAAAATTAGGGAGAGCACCCAGGTCCTGTGATCAAGCCCCAGAACCGGCACACAGAAAAAAAGCACAAGGCATTTCTCATTCTTTACTATACAATCCCCCAATATAACTCTATTTTACATAAGGAAAGAGATGATATCAACAGGTATCAAGGGACAGACACAATATTCCTAGTAAAGTAAAATCTAATGATCACTGCTGTAGCACACTTACAAGAAAATAAAAAATAAGAACAACAAAAAAAAGTTACACTGAACAACTGACAACTTTGAGGCAACCAAGGAGTTAAAAGTAACTGAATTTACAGCACCTTTGCTGAGGGCAAGGGCCACATGTGAAAGATTGCAGAGATGTCTGAGAAGATGTAAGTAAGGAAAAGCTATGGGGGTGCTAATCAGGAGGGCATGAGTACCCTTGGAGAGCCCTTTCCATGTAATACCTACCAGCTGACCTAGAATAGGCATTTTTCATAGTTGACAAGTAAATTGATATTATGAGGTTGTCAGATTTCCACAAACTGTGGAAATTCCAGAACTGTGGCTAATTATGATTGGCAA